CATACTGTATGGAACCTTTTGGGGTTGGCGTCTGTATGCCATCGTATTACCTGGGCATTGATCTAAGTTATTGTGTATATCAGTAGTTCATTCCTTTATGTTGCTGATTAGTATTCTTTGGTGTAGATGTACCACTGTTTGTTTAACCATCCACCTGTTGAAGGACTTCTGGGTCGTTTCCCATTTGGGTCTATTGTGAATAAAGCTTCTATAAACATAAACATTAGCATGCAGGTTTTTGTTTGAACATAAAGGTTTTCATTTCTCTGGAATAAATGCCCAGGAATACAGTTGCTAGGTTGTATGGTAGTTTCGTGTTTAGTTTTAAAATGCACTGCCTAACTTTTCCAGAATGGCTGTATCATTTTATATCCACACCAGCAACATATAAGTGATCTAGTGTTTGTTTGTTTGTTTTTTTTGTGAGGAAGATCAGCTCTGAGCTAACATCCGATGCCAATCCTCCTCTTTTTGGTAAGGAAGATTGGCCCTGGGCTAACGTCTGTGCCCATCTTCCTCCACTTTATATGGGATGCTGTCACAGCATGGCTTGACAGGCGGTGTGTCGGTGCGCGCCCGTGATCCCAGCCTGCGAACCCTTGGGCCGCTGCAGTGCAGCGTGCGCGCTTAACCGCTACGCCACTGGGCCAGCCCCATGAGTGATCTAGTTTTTCAGCATCCTCACCTCACGTTTGGTATTGTCACTGTTGTTTATTTTAGCCATTATGATAGGTGTGTAGTGATATCGTTGTGGTTTTAATTTGCTTTGCCTAATTGCTAATGTTGTTGAAAATCTTTTCATATGCTTTTTTGCCACCTGTATATCCTCTTATGTGAGATGTCAGTTCATGTCATTTGCCCATTTTCGTATTGGGTTTTGAGAATTCTTTATATATTGAAGATACTAGTCCTTTGTTTAGGTATGTGGTTTGCAAATATTTTCTCCCAGTCTTTAGTTTGCCTTTTTAAACTCTTAACAGGATCTTTTGTAGTACAAAAGTTTTAAATTTTGATGAAGTCCAATATCAGTTTTTCTTTTTATGGATTATGCTTTTGGTATCAAGTTTAAGAACCCTTTGCCTAGATCCTGAAGATTTTCTCCTATCTTCTTTCAAAAAGTTTTATAATTTTGCATTTAACATCTGTCTATGATCTGTTTTGAGCTAATATTTGTGTAAGATGTGACGCTTAAGTCAAGGTTCATTTTTTTGCCTATGAAGTCCAATTACTCTAGCACTGTTTGTCAAAAAGGCTGTCCTTCCTGCATGAAATTGGTTTTGCATCTTTCTCAAAAATCTGTTTGGCATGTTTGTGTGGGCTTATTTCTCTGTCTTCAGTTCTTTCCCACTGATCTCTGTCTGTCCCTTTGGCAATACCATACTGTCTTGATTACTGTAGCTATATAGTAAGCCTTAAGATCAGGTTGAGTAATTCCACTCACTTTATTTTTCTTTGTCAAGACTGTGTTAGCTGTTCTGGTTCTTTTGCCTTTCCACATAAATTTGAGAATAAGCTTGTCTATGGCAAAAAACCTTGCTGGGATTTTTATGGGAATTGCATTAAACCTATAGATCAGTTTGGGGAGAATTGACATCTTGACTGTGTTGAGTCTTTCAGTCTATAAACACAAGATGTCTCCCCATTTATTTAGCTTTTTTATTTCTTGCAGCATTTTGTACTGTTGAGCATACAGATCTTGTGCATATATATATATATATTTTTTGTGAGGAGATCAGCCTTGAGCTAACATCCGATGTTAATCTTCCTCTTTTTTGCTGAGAAAAATTGGCCCTGGGCTAACGTCTATGCCCATCTTCGTCTATTTTATATGGGATGCCGCCACAGCGTGGCTTGATCAGCGGTGTGTCGGTGTGCACCTGGGATCCGAACCGGCGAATCCCGGGCAGCTGCAGTGGAGCCTGCACACTTAACCGCTGCGCCACTGGGCCGGCCCCCAGATCTTGTGCATATTTTAAGTGCCTAGCTAAGTGTTTCGTTTTCTTTGGAACAATTGTAAATGGTATTATGTTTTTAATTTCAGTTTCTGCGTGTTCACTGATAGTATATAGAAATGTGATTGCTTTTTATGTGTTGATTATGTATCCTGCAACCTTGTTGAACTCACTTGTTAGTTCTAGGAGTTTTTGTAGATTCCTTGGGATTTTCCAAGTGGACACTCATGTCATCTGCAAATAGAGGGAGTTTTATCTTTTCCTTTCCAATCTGTATATCTTTTATTTCTGTTTCTTGCCATATTGCAGCTTTAAAAACTTTTTTAAAAGTTTTCTAAGTACTTATTATTAATTCATTACCACACTTTCCCTGAGCTTTGTAAGTATCCTTATAATATATATTCATTGCCTTTCATCTTGATGAGTTTGGAAGGAGTCTCTTATGGAGACTTCTGTCTAAGCCGGATTGGTTGATTTCCAGGCCTGCTTCACAGTTGTTTGGAATGTCTCTTCATCATCCTGGAGATTCCTTTTGCCTGTCTCTTGTTTTGTGTTCTTTGTTATATAGGTTCTGTGTCTGTGTTTCCTGATTACTATTCTGTCACTTTGCTGTAGCACATCTTCTAGTAGTTAACTGAGAAAGGGTGCATGGGAGGTAAATTTGTTGATGCTTTGCATGACTGAATATTGCTTGAGTCTTTGAGTCTGTCTGATTATGTAATTGATAATTTAGATGACAATAAAATTCTAGGCTGGACATTGTTTTCCCCTAGAATTTTGCAAGCATTGCTTTGTCATCCTCTAGCTTTCAGTTTTGAAGTTTGCTGCCATTTTGATTCTTGACTGCTTTTGTGAAACCTGTTTTTTTCTGTTTAGAAACTTAGAGATTATACTTTGTCCTGAGAGTTCTAAAATTTCATGATTATATGTCTTGGTTTGGATTAATTTTATCCATTTGGCTGGATAATACTGAGGCTCTGTCAACCTGGAAACTCATGTAATGGGAACTCATGAGAAATTTTCATAAATTATTTCTTTGATGATTTCTACTCCTCTGTTTTCCCTGTTCCCTCCTTTTTGAATTCCTATTCTTTGAATATTGGACCTCTTGGGCTAGCCTTTTAATTGTTTTATCTTTTCTCTTGTTTCTCCATTTCTTTGTCTTTTTGTGATTTCTAGAGACTTCCTCAATGTTATCTTCTAAATCTTCCTTTGAGTTTGCAGGTCTCTATCATAATATTAATTTCCAAGAATTCTTCTTTTTTTTTTGGCACTGTCCTTTTACAAAGGTCGTCTCCTGTTCTTGTTTCAAGGATGCAGTCAGTATGTTCTCTGAGAGTATTACATAGAGTGTTTTTGTGTGTGTGTGTGAGAAAGATTAGCCCTGAGCTAACATCCATTGCCAGTCCTCCTCTTTGCCGAGGAAGACTGGCCCTGGGCTAACATCCGTGCCCATCTTCCTCTACTTTATATGGGACTCTGCCACAGCATGGCTTGATACGTGGTGCCTCGGTCTGTGCCCGGGATCTGAACCCGAGAACCCTGGGCCACTGAAGTGGAACGTGCGTACTTAACCACTATGGCACTGGGCCAACCCCTAGTTTTTTCTTTTGAAGTTGTTTTCTTGAATATTGGTAGCTCCTCTTCTCCTCTGTTTTGCTTTTTTATTTTGTATTTTGTCTTTCAAATTAGATGCATTTGTCAGACGTTTGGTGGAACAGGAAAAAGCTATCTGAAAGCTCTGTCTGAGTGGGTGAGGTTTGTTCACTGTGGACTTCAGTGTAGGGTGTCTGCTTGGGCATTTGTCCTCAGAATCCTCCCTGATGTCAGTTTCTTTAGGCATTTACTCCTGAGCTGGTCACGTTCCTCTGAGAAAGCTCTTCCAACTGCCAGGAGCATGTTAGCTTTCTGGATGCTGGGTAGAGGAGAATGGTTTGGGATTTCAATATTCTGTGTGTAAACTTGCACTTCGTCTCTCTTTTTCAATGTGATATTCTTGTTTCAATGTGCCTGGTGTCTCTTATCTAGAGACTCTTTGTTTTCAAGCCTCTTGGGTTCTGTCAGATTGGAGAGGGACGGTTACTGGCCTTGCAGAGTTGGGGAGGGATGGGGATCTAGGGTCTGAATCTTACTAGATAAACTTTCAACTGGTCAGTTTTTAGTCCCACATTCACCCCTACTTCAGGAGGTGCAGGGTGCTTACTGCCGATTCTTGAGCCTTTTGGGAGGTCTGTGATGTGAGTCACCTTCCTTCTTGGCTTTCTGTGCTACTGGTTTAGGATTCAGCTTTTGGTTCTGACAAGTCAAACAAAAGCTTCCAGCTTTCAAGGTTTGTTGCTATTGTATTCTCTCCTTTTCTTTATTTTAATGGGTCTGTCCTTTAAGAAAAAGTGCTCTCTACTGTCGTTTCAGTGGTGATTGGGGAAGAAGTAGAAGCCGATGCATGTGTTCAAGCTGCCATTTTAAAACAGATGTTTTATGATATATTTTTTTAATGGAAAAAAGTCAAATAAAAAATGCCTGGATAGTATAGTCCAAAGTTTTAACATTGATTATCTTTGAGTGGTAGAGGTACAGGTGTTTTATATTTTTTATTTTCCCTGTGTATTTTATTATTTATGTATGATACATGCATGACTTGTAAAATACCGGAAGTAAAGAATATGACATCTACTGTGTTAATTACTTTTTAAGTTATGTTTGGTTCTGGGAAAGGAAAAATATCCATTATCTTTTTTCTAGAGACAAGCCATGTATAGAGCCCAGGGTCATCTAAGAAGCAGAGTATTTGGTCATCCTAAGTCTAGGATACTTAATTACTTTGAACCATGAAGTACTTGATTTTGAATACCTGCTGGTGTAACCTACATCTTGATGTGTATTTTTCCCCTGTTAAAAATATAGGAAAAAAGTATATGGGCTTAAATTTTAATTTTAATCTTTAGTATGCATATCATGTTTACAGCTGAGAAATAATAGCATTATTTATCTGCTGTTTTTATATGAAACACTCTTGCACAAATGTTAAGTAACTAAATGGCTACACAGATACACTGGCTGGCTGTGAATGGGCGGACGGAACTACTTCATGACCTTGTACAGCACGTCAGTGACGTTGATGTTGAGGACGCGATGGGGCAGACAGCGCTGCATGTGGCCTGCCAGAACGGTCACAAGACGGTAAATTCCACCATGAGGACTTTAAATTAAGTTACATGTGTTTATTTTTGAAAACTTTGAATTCATGAAAAGTTTTTCACTGTGTATAATTGGGAACATGAAGCATCGTAGCAAAATCTTATCACATTTTCTGCATGTGGATAAAAGGATTAGAAAATAGTGCTTTTAAATCTGTTCAAAATATTTATAATTTGGATTTCAATTTTATTTCTAATTCATAGATTTTAATAGCTGAGTATACTAAAATTTTAAATGTAGTATGTTCACATATAATTTTAACAATTATGTTTATTCTATTCTCAGTTTTATCAAATAACTTTTTCATTTTTTTTTTTTTTTTTACCATTAAGCCTCAATTATTGGGATTAGATAGTGAAGAAAGTGAGCACTGACATTGCCTAAATAGTTCAACTTGGATCATCGTATGTTTCCACTGTCTTGGAATATGATACAAGTACTAGAGTGGTGACAGTCGTATTCTTTCTTTCTTTAGATTTCTAAAGTCATGCATATGTTTTATGGCAATACTTTTCTGTTATTCCTATGTACAAATGTTTGACTTTTGAAATTGCTAATAGTTTTCTGTCTCAGGAGGGTTTGCTGCCTTATATAAAGAGTGTTAGCTTAAGACTTTAGATTAAATTTCTGCTTTGCTATAATTTCCTATCCTGGTTACTTTCAGTGGTTTTTTTTTTTCATGTTTAACGTTATTGATAATAGAATGTTTTTTGTTTTACTTGCTAACCATAACAATAACAAAAAAGAACCGAAAACAAAAATCACCAACAACCACAAAGATAACAAATATTTGTTTGTATTTATTTTTCTGTACACACTTTCTCCGAGTCTTATCTTTTTGTTGAGAGAATTCCTAGTGGAATCTGGATTTCCATCTCTGCAAACATTTTTTTCCTAACCTGGTTTCAGGATGTAGGATCCTACATGTTTAGATGTCTTATGTATGACCTCAATTCAAAGAATATTGCGTTTGTTTAAGATAGTGAGGCCAAGATTGACATTGTCTTATTTTTAATGAGTTGGATAAAAGGAAGCATGTAGCGTTGTTTTTTTCTTTCCTGGAATTTCTTCTGAACACCAGTGTTCATTTTAATTTTTTTGTCTTTTATAAACTAACCCAGTGTTTTCAAGGAGTATTGTTTCTCATTAGTTTTTACTTTCTCAGAGTCAACACTATTAAATTTAAAAACTATCCTGTGTGGAAAAAAAATTATCTGAAATGTCCAAATTTTGAATGGCCCAGGTTTTTAAGCAACAGTTGCATGTTAGCGAGCGAGTCCTGCTGGTAGCTCTCAAAGAACAGAAAAGCACCTAATTTAATATAAACACTCTGCTGTAACAGATGAGTGGAATATCATTTGCTAAGATTGCAGACCCTACCTGTTGCCCAGCAACTTGTGTAGGAAAAAACTGGAATTCAGATTAGAAATGATATACAAAAGCTAATTTTAGCTGCCTTGAGTCAGTGAAGAAGCAAGAATTGCTAAGAAAACCTGTGTTCAAAGCATGTGCATTACAGGCTGCATTAAAAATTTAGAATTGCTTTCTGAAGTTATTGAAGAGTAGTTAGTATAAGTATAATATATTCCATATGGTTTACAACCTAAAGCAGGTGTGGTGTAAAGTAAGGGAGAATTCCTCATAGTCAAATGCCTTTGAAGAATTGTATTCTCAGAAGATTTATAGGGGGCTTGACTTCACTGTTGTGATGAGTTTCACAGGGTGAGATTTTGCAGATATAGTAGAGGAGGAAAGGTAGAAAAGCTACATTGACTTGTGGTTGATTGCAGTGGTGAGTGAGAGTCCGTTGCCTCATAGTTGGTCAATTACAGTTATCTGCAAGGATCAGATAAAGAGAATGTTTAGCACTGACTATTTTCTGAATCATTCTATGCACCTTTAATCCTTCTTCAATTAGGGCAAGAAAGAATCTTGAAAAATTAGTCTATTTCCTAGCCTCCACGCTAAATATACCTCTAAAAGTCTGTGTTGATAGTTGTGCTAGTATTATCTGTGTCTCATAATTCTTCATGTATTTCCAGGACGTGTTCAAATCTCAGTGGATAAGCATATCCTTTTATCTTGAGTTGGGTATGATTTACTGGGCTATGAGATATGGAAAGTTATTATAGGATAGGGATTATTGATGTTTTTAAACCCTTTGAATATCTTTCCCTAAGTTGAACACTGAGTCTGAATGCTTTGTCAGGTATCCTAGTGACTTATATTAGCAGCGAGTGAAAACGGCCTTTTCCTTGTGTCAAAGTAGCCAGTTCTTGCATAAATTCATGAAAAGGTCTTCAAAACTTGTGTCCATGTAGACATATACCAGTGCACATAGGTTTCAAGATTTTATTTTATTTTTAAGCTTAAAGCTTGCATATTGATTATATATATTTTACTGAATAAAATATAACTTTTTTGTGTGTGTGTGTGAGGAAGATCAGCCCTGAGCTAACATCCATGCTAATCCTCCTCTTTTTGCTGAGGAAGACCGGCTCTGAGCTAACATCTATTGCCAATCCTCCTCCTTTTTTTTTTTCCCCAAAGCCCCAGTAGATAGTTGTGTGTCATAGTTGCACATCCTGCTAGTTGCTGTATGTGGGACGCGGCCTCAGCACGGCCGGACAAGCAGTGTGTCGGTCGGTGTGCGCCCGGAATCCGAACCCGGGCCTCCAGTAGCGGAGCGCGTGCACTTAACCGCTAAGCCACGGGGCCGGCCCAAAATATAACATTTTAAAGGGGGAATAAACTCCATTTAAAAATATTTTTAAAAGCTTGTAAGCTCTTTTCAAATTAAAGAGGCAGATATGATAAATCCTTTCAAATCTACCTTCTAATCTCATTTTAGGGTAAATCTCAGGAGTGTATGAAAAGATTTTGAGCAACTGCCCAAGAGTTCTAAAGCTTTGTAGAATTTATAATTGAGTACTATATTCTTGCTTTGATGACAAGAAATCCTTTTCAGATTTACATTACTTTTTTTAAAGATAAAAGATTTGGAAGAAAGAATCATTTTTATCATAAGTAAGAAATCGAGTAATCTTTGCCATGATTTCATAGAGATGCATCTGTTTTCTCAGAGGTAAACCGAGATAAAGGTCTCATCATCCTCTTGTTGGAAGGAGCGGTTTGGGCAGTTTAAGAGTGCATTCCGACTGTCTTTTGTCCTTGCAATGTAATAGCACTATGATTTTAAACTACTTCTATTTCTTTTTAAAAATGATCAGACGGAAGGAATGATCATAACAACTCCACAGTAATTTAATTTTTATAACTTTTCTTAGGTCAGCAGTTATTAGCTGTACTATACCAGAATTATGCTTTGTCTTTGGATATTGATTTAAAAAGATCATTTCAGAGTTTGGTTATTCAGCTGGCTTGTTGTACAGTCTTTGGCAGCTTTTTCTTCCCCTGCCCTTATCTACTTCCTAAGGTGTATTCTATCTGATTACAGAATTAAGGAAAGTGTTGTGAACACTTTGGAAGACATGTAAGAGCAATAATAGTATTGGTACTATTACTGACATTATTAATATAGATGATGTGATTCTACAAGAAAAGTGCAGAGAGCACTATCTGGACCCTTAATTCATTTAGTCTTTTGCAATAAGCTAGGCCTAGTGGGTCTGATTTTTAATCTCATTTTTAGAAAGTGTAGTGTTACTAGCCTAACACTATTAGATACAGGTGTAATTTACTCCAGTTTTTTTGGCCATAAATTGAACTTACTTTTTGCTAACTTTTTTCTTTGTCATTAGTTCTTTAAGACTTGTTAATGTATTGAATTGCCACAAATGGTTGATTACTGTTTTCCTGGAGTAACTTGGATTTAGAAACCCTAGAGAACTATCATATGGTTTAATCTCAATTTATGTAAATTAGAGTACACAGCAGGATTAGTTTATGAATCACTGAAAAAAGAAATTTTTATCAGAATAAACTTTATATTGCTAAATTTATATAGCTGAATATGAAGCTTCACAGACAGTCTAAAATGATAGCTGAGGGGCCGGCCCAGTGGTGTAGTGGTTGAGTTTGTGCACTCTGTTTCAGTGGCCCGGGGTTTGTGGGTTCAGATCCTGGGCTTGGACCCATGCACTGCTTATCAAGCCATGCTGTGGCAGGCGTCCCATATATAAAGTAGGGGAAGATGGCCACGGATGTTAGCCCCGGGGCCAATCTTCCTCAACAAAAAGAGGAGGATTGGCAACAGAGTTAGCTCCGGGCTAATCTTCCTCACACACACGCACACACACACACACACAAAGTAACATAAAATGATAGTTGAACCCTGCTCAGAGTAGATTTAAGCTCCTGAAACTTTTTTTTTTTTGTGAGGCAGATCAGCCCTGTGCTAATGTCTGCCAATCTTCCTCTTTTTTTTTTGCTGAAGAAGACTGGCCCTGGGCTAACATCTGTGCTCATCTTCCTCCACTTTATATGAGACACCACCACAGCATGGCTTGCCAAGCAGTGCATTGGTGCAACCCCAGGATCCGAACCGGCGAACCCCGGGAGCGCATGCACTTAACCGCTTGTGCCACCGGGCCGGCCCTGCTCCTGAAACTTAGTAGCAGTTGTTTGACATTGGTATTATAGACTATCATTGATAGAACTGACTGCATTTTTTTACTGAAATTATAGGCTTGTGAAGGAACAGTGCTCACCTACATTCAGTCAGCTTTCTTGATATCTTTAGCCAGCTTCCAAGCTTTTCATCCAGAGAATTACAGGACAACCATGCAAACTTAATTGCAAGCTTTTGCAAAAGCATTAATTGGATTCAGCCTTGAGGCAGAAAGATAGAGTAACATTTCAGAATGTAGTTTTAGATTCAGAGTAATTTTATTTATCCTAGTGTTAGAATTCTCCTTTAATCACTTCTGGGAAATGTGAGCAAATAATAGTTCTCCTATTACTGTGATTTTTCTAACACAACTGGATAATATTGATTTTTGCCAGACATTACATAAGAGTTC